TGCTTCCTCTTTAGCTCACGGCTACTGCTGCACGATGTTTTAAAATTTAGATTGCGGCACGCTATCATATCCGCCCTTGATCTGCTTTCACTCACGTACAAAATCCCCTTTCCGGTTACAGCTGACGAGGGGTGCTCTCTTGGGGTAGTCGCCGGAGAGGGCTTGACCACTTGATAAGTGATGGAGTCGTTGCAGCGACTGCACTGCATTTGACACATGCCAAACCAGGGAGTGGCCGAGGCGCCTGAAAGTGGATCCGAGCGCAGGGCTTGCAGAGACAGGGTGCCCCTGGCATTGCTCTGGCTCTGGCGGGCTCAAAACTCGCCAATTTTAATGTATGACCCTATGTAGCACAGCTTGGAAATGTAGTTGCGCTGGCAGTTACCAAAATTTTGGCAGGCTTGAGGTCCACGCGGAGCACGTTAAGCACACAGTAGCGCAGAGCAGCCACAATGTCCAACCGAATCACATACAGCACTCTGTGGATGAACGCCAACGCTAGCGTGTCCAGTATCCTACGGACACTCCATAACGATAATACTAAAGGCAACAGTGGACTCTGTTATTATGATAATTATGTCCCTTGATAATCTTCAAGCGGAGTAATCTGTTCAAAGTTCAGAAGCGATCAATAAGATATATCCATTTTATTGGGTAAAAAATACCGCGATAAATTGACTTAAAAGCAGTACCATATGCACCGCGGCCGAGAATCTGACACCTGGTGCGGATGGGGGAACATCCTTAAGCAAGTGATTGCGCTTCGGCGTGGTAAGCACAAGCTCAATTTTTCGATTAGCTACTGAAAATTAACAGCATTTGACTCATAATGAGAGATTTTCGATTTATTTCATTATTTTCACATTGCCTACATTTGTACAGTATAACGGTGCTTTCGCTTCAGCAGCTGTGTATAGGCGCTGCCAGACTGTCAGAAAATGAATAAAACGGAATGGCGCCACTGTTATCTACATCCCAATTACATCTCAATAAAATAAAATATTTTATAACTTTTTTTCCATTTTAAACTATTTATTTAACACTGCACACTGTACAATGTATGCGTCAAAAGCGAATCGTAATCGATGGTGTTCGAGGCTTGGCTTCGTTTTGGGCTTGATACAAACCAATAAATAATATAAAATCTAAATGCCGCTGAATCTTCATTCCCAAAATCACTACTGACGTTCTCCGTGCAGTTGCCCAGTCTCCATCCGCAAGATATATGCCAAAATATGCATATGCTAATCAAATCACAATAATATAAAAACGATTTTAAGGTGATATATATATTGAAATTTGATTAACAATTGTCAACTAGTAAACTAGAGGAAATATACAACATTTTCTCTAGATTATTATTTAAGAGGCTCTGACGTTTTGAAATCTATTCCAAAACCACCAGTTATGTTATGAACAATATTTTCAGCTTCTTTAAATGAATCCATTGACTTTGCTAATGGTAGCACCTTCGCTTCTACCAGCGCTTTTGCCAGCTCAATAGATTCAGAATTCAGAATCAGAATCTACTAAATTAAAATGTTTTTTTGTTGTTAAACATTATCTCTCTTACTTCTTTCATTTTCTCAATGTTATCTGCATAAAATTATGTTTATGATCGGTTATGATGGTAACTCCTTATTGAGTTGGTCGGTTGTAGCGTCGTACTCTAAGCGGACCTTTTATAATTTTATGAAAGTTTTGTTCACACAGGATATGAACCAGTTAGCGACATGAAATGTATCCTTACATTGTTAGCTGTTAAATTTAATGCGTCTTATATGCCGCGCTATTCGTTAAGAGCCATAATACTTTTAACTCATTCCCGTTAGGCTGGGACCTTTGGACCTTCTGTGAAGTGAAGTAGCAATATGTTGCTGCAATTGAGGCGGTCCCGAAGCCAGATCCAGAGCGTTTTCCTCGTAGAAAGTAAGTGCATAAAATAGGTTCAGTGCGGTCCGCGTGAGAAAATGAGGAAAATATAGAGAATGGATCAAACCATAACGCAACCCCTTTGGATTATTAATTAATCAACAAACAGCAACAAACAAAAAAGTGGAGAAAACAGTACAGTACATCAAAAGTTCATCGGTGCACGGAACATGTATGTGTTAAAAGACGTTTCGTGACTTGATTGGGATTAACGCTGAGCAGTGTTGGGCCAGTGTGCTCAGTCCAAGCCAGAGTTGCATTTTTTGTGACAAGTAAAAAACCAATATTTCCACTCCACTTCATTGGTAAAAAAAAGGTTCAATTAAAAGGAGCCATCTGAACAATACAAACACCAGAGAATTAGGACAGAGCGAATATACAACAAACGGGGGGGAACGTTGTGAGTTGAGGCGGACGCAGCAACTTTACAGTTATACCCGATACTAAGTCAATATGGCTCTCCTCCGCCAGACGCCACTAATAATGAACGACACGACAAACAATACGTGCGAGAGAGACAGAAAATCACTCTGAGCGTGACGTCGGGCGCTGCGTAGCCAGTGCAAATTGATTTGTTCCTTTTGGCTATAAAAATGATCTGATCTGATCCAGATGATCAGCGAAATTTTGACACAAAACGGTCAAGGTCCGATATCACAGGAGTGTGGATACCAAATTTGGTTGCTCTAGCTCTTATGGGTTCTGAGATCCTTGAACTCATATTTTGCAATTGGCAAAACCGACCATGAAACCTGTGTGTTAGAGTAAGACAGAGCGAGAAAGAGTGAAATTGTTTTCGTGATTCTGGCTATAATATTTATACGATCTGGTTCAGATTTTGCACTCTGGAAGATATAGTCATCTTCTACGATTCTGCGTTTTTAGTTTTCTCGTATCGTCGAAATTGTGGATGCCACAGATTTTCACCCTTTGTGGGGGCGGAAGTGGGCGGGGCAAAGTTTTGAAATATTTTTGGAGCAGTGACATATCACAGAAGTCTGGATCCAAAACATCGTTGTTCTAGCTCTTATAGTCTTTGAGCATTAGGCGCTGAAGGGGACGGACAGACGGACAGACGGACGGACGGACAGACAGACAGGGCTCAATCGACTCGGCTATTGATGCTGATCAAGAATATATATACTTTATGGGTCGGAAACGATTCCTTCTGGACGTTACACACATCCACTTTTACCACAAATCTAATACACCCCAATACTCATTTTGAGTATCGGGTATAAAAATCGACGAGGAGCTCAGCAGGTCGATATTGCCAGAGCCATGGCCACCCATTGGGCAACCCAACGGACGCAAGCGCAAGCATCACATGGGCAATCCAAAAGAGCCTGCTATCGCTGTGGGGAATCTTCTTAGCTGGGAGGAAAAATGGGACCAGCAATACAATGCCACAAGTCGCAATTTGTACAGAGACCAATGAGGTTGTATTGCTTGGCCTGGAGCTGCAATCCACCGAAGAAATAGGTAACTATAAGTTGTCCACGATCCGATTCGATTCGATTTGGCTGACTAACATTTGTGTGCGTGTGGTCTCTCCCTCCTCCTTTAGCCTCTTCTGTAAGGGTTTCGGAGATCCCCTGGACTAGTAGCAGGCACAGGCGCAGGAGATTTCCCCACAGGTCATCAGAAAGGAAGTCCCATGTACGAGAATCTTGACTTTGAATACGAGTACGAGTAGATATTATTTATAAACATTAGCAGATAGTCCGATATAAACAATTCTTTCATTTCGTTTTGTTAAATGCAAAAAAATTCCTCGGAGATATACTTAGTATATTATCCAATCCAATTGATATCTCTTCTTCACGGACCCTAAGCGGGCCCCTCGCGCAGTGACAGAATAAGGAAAGAATTATATAATCTGTTGTGGATTTTGTATTTTATTTTGCACTTAGAAACTATGAAAAAAATTCGCTTAAACCGTAAACTACGACTAGTGGGGATTTCTACAATGATGGTAGGGTAGGGTAGGGCTGTGCATAGGCGCAGGATAAGAGCAGGAGCTGTTTCGCTGATTAACTGGGGAGACTGCGAGGATGCAGTTGGGAGGAACTAGATTTTACAAATATAACGTATCCGCGGCGGTGTACATATCCAAGGACTTAAGTACTTAAATGCGAGAGATAAAGGAGCGTGGTGCGAGGTGGTACAGCTCAGATAGAAACTGAGAGCCCCCAGGCTATATTCACAGATAAGCTGACCCAAAAAAAATTCATATAGATAGGAACTGGCTGGCGAATCGAAACCAATCTGAACTGAGACTCGCACGCGTTCAACGCAACAAGCAGCCGGATTTGGCTCTGGCGATTGGGATCGGTGATCGTGGATCAATGATCAGGGTTGCATGGAGCGACTCCATAGCATGTCTAAAAGGTTATATTTTAGCGTTCATTTTAGCGGATCGCTGCAAGGAGAAGAGCGACGACTTTAGGCTGTGAACGTCCAGCTCTGTCTTTCGACACCATACTACACTGCCCATTTGGTTTAAATACTGGTTTTTCTGAGAGCGTTACTAGGTAATGAAAGTCGAAGTTTTTAATTGAGCGATAACTAATTGCACACCTGATAAAACTGAAACATAAACAAACACACTCGACTACAAGATTATTGGAATCGATCACACAGCACAGTGTTATACGTCAAACAAATTTAGAGCAAAAAGTTTAGCCAACAGGAAATAAATATTTTAGTCATTCGAAACAGTTCAGTCGTCGGGAGAGGATATAAAATCGAAAAGAAAAAGAAAAATGGAAAAAGAAAATAGTAAGTGAAATACAAAACTAAAAGCAGCAGTGGGAATTTTTCAAAACCAAAAATCCTGAAGCGGGTTGTCGGGAAGCTCCTGCAACAACATCAACAAAAAGACAGGTGGAGTTGTACCTTTTGGGGAGAAAAAGTTGCAATGTTGGGTAATTCGGTAAATATGCGATACGTGTGCGGTTCCAACAACAGCGAAAACCCCCTAGATCCAGGACTCGGTCAAATTTAGAAAAATTAAAAAAAAAAAAAAATTTTTTTTTTTTGAAATTTTGACAGGCCAGCCGCGTGGAACTTTGGGAAAACCAGGTCAAGTATCTGTCAATTATCTCGACGTTAACTTGGACAAAATGCCTGCGGTGGCCTATCACTACGATGTGAAGATCACGCCAGACCGTCCTAAGAAGTTCTATCGTCAGGCTTTTGAGCAGTACAGAGTTGAACACTTGGGCGGTGCGATTGCCGCATTTGATGGACGTGCATCGTGTTACTCAGTTGTGAAGCTAAAATGCAGCTCCCAGGGCCAAGAAGTGAAAGTAAGTGTTGTTGTGTTGTCGCCGAGCTTGATGCACCTTTGAAGTGAAACTTGCTTTCCTGCCGTCCAGGTAACAGATCGCCACGGCCGTACCCTGAATTACACTCTGGAACTCAAGGAGACGGAGGACTTGGAGGTCGATCTGAATTCGCTGAGAAGGTGAGTGGACCGTTATACTGAACGGCAGATACGGATACTTCTCTGTCGGCAGAGAATCGGCATTATGCAATTTTCCATTTTTGCAGTTATGTGAAGGATAAGATATATGACAAGCCCATGCGAGCCTTGCAGTGTCTGGAGGTTGTGTTGGCAGCACCCTGTCATAACACCGCCATACGCGCCGGTCGCTCCTTCTTCAAAAGGTCTGAGCCCGGAAGTGCCTTTGATCTTAACGACGGCTACGAAGCTCTGGTTGGGCTCTATCAAACATTCGTTCTTGGCGATCGCCCTTTTGTCAATGTGGACATATCGCACAAGTCCTTTCCGAAGTCCATGACGATCATTGACTATTTAGAGCTGTATCAGAAAGAGAAAATTGACAAAAGCACAAATCTTGACTACAAGCGTTCTGATATTGAATCATTCCTAACGGGCATGAATATAATTTACGAGCCGCCTGCCTGTCTTGGCAGCGCCCCGCGCGTCTTCAGAGTCAACGGGCTTTGTAAGGTTCCGGCCAGCACTCAGACATTTGAGCTGGATGGAAAAGAAATGACCGTTGCAGAGTATTACAAGTCTCGGCAGTATAATTTAAAGTTTCCGAACCTTCTCTGCTTGCATGTTGGGCCACCGTTGAAGCACATTTACTTGCCTATCGAACTATGTCGCATTGAGGATGGGCAGACACTGAATGTGAGTTCAACTAGTTCCTTTCACTGCAAATCATTTCCTGATTTGATTTCTTTTCATCGTATCGCAGCGCAAGGATGGAGCTAATCAGGTGGCGGCCATGATTAAGTATGCTGCCACTTCCACCAACGAGAGGAAGGCCAAGATCATCCGCTTGATGGAATATTTCAGGCACAATTTAGACCCGACCATCAGCCACTTTGGCATACGTCTGGGCAGTGACTTCATCGTCGTGAATACACGCACGCTCAATGCGCCTCAGATTGAGTACAAAAACAATTTGGCCTCGGTGAGGAACGGTTCGTGGCGCATGGATGGCATGCAATTCCTTGAACCCAAGCCAAAGTCACATAAATGGGCCATACTCTACGGCAAGATTAACTACCTGTATGTGGACGAGCTTCAGAAGATGGTAAGTTCTTTGCGTTGCATTGCAGGATCCTGCCTAATTTTCGTGGCAGGTTATTCAGAAGAGTCGCAAAGTCAATCTGTGCCTGGATGCCAAGGCCGAGAAACTGTACTACAAGGATGAACGTGAACTAGATGCTCATTTCCGCTATTTCAAAAAGAATCAATTTGATGTAGTGTTCGTTATTATACCAAATTTCGGGCATCTTTATGATGTCGTGAAGCAAAAGGCTGAGCTACAGCACGGCATTCTTACACAATGCATTAAGCGGATCACAGTCGAGCGCAAATGTAACGCGCAGGTTATTGGCAGCATTCTACTTAAGGTTAATGCAAAACTGAACGGCACCAATCACAAGCTACGGGATGACCTACACTGTCTGCCAAAGAAGACCATGTTTTTGGGTGCCGATGTGACTCATCCGTCGCCCGATCAGCGAGAGATTCCCAGTGTGGTGGGTGTTGCCGCCTCCCATGATCCATTCGGGGCTTCATATAACATGCAATATCGCTTGCAACGCTCTGCCCTGGAGGAGATCGAGGACATGGAGTCGATAACCCTTGAGCACTTGCGTGTCTATCATAATTTCCAACAATGCTACCCAGACCACATTATCTATTATCGTGATGGCGTAAGCGATGGCCAGTTTCCCAACATCAAGAATAAAGAGTTGAGGGGAATTTCTGCCGCCTGCAGCAAGGTAAGTTGAGCTCTTGCATCCAGAAACCTTTTAATTTTATATCACTAATCGTCCTTCGCCTCCTTTCAGCTGCACATTAAGCCCAAGATTTGCTGCTTCATTGTAGTTAAGCGGCATCATACACGCTTCTTTCCGAACGGAGTTCCATCGCAATACAACAAGTTCAACAACGTTGTTACGGGAACCGTCGTCGATCGCACCATTGTCCATCCCAATGAGATGCAGTTCTTCATGGTCAGCCATCAGTCGATTCAGGGGACGGCCAAGCCGACGCGTTACAACGTAATCGAGAATACGGGCAACTTGGATATTGATGTACTGCAGAAATTGACATACAATCTTTGTCACATGTTTCCTCGTTGCAACCGCGCAGTGTCTTATCCGGCTCCGGCATATTTGGCACATTTGGCTGCGACACGTGGACGTGTCTACCTTACTGGGTGCGATATTATTATTATTATTGTTTCATATTTTCGTTCTGATAATGTCATCTTGACTGCTTTTCTTCCAGCTGCACCAAGTTTCGTTCTCCCCAGGTGGAGTACGCAAAGCGTTTGATAGTGCCAGAGTTCATGAAGACGAACCCTATGTATTTTGTTTAGGCAGAAAACTAACAAAATATCTTCACTTCTTCTAAACGAAAAAGAAGTTACAAAATATAAATTATTGACCCACACCTGTCTTGCCCTTAATGTAATAATCAATCAAAGATCAATCAATCGAAAGATGTCTATGGTAAAAGCTTATAAAACAGTACAAATAATTCAAACAAATTACAAACGAACACGACATAATCACGACATAAGCCGAAAAGCAAGCCGGCGGGAGAGCTTCTGCTCAAGATGAGCTCCAGGTTATTCCTCAGAAGAATAGGGCTCGTGTGGAAATTAGGCTCGATCCCCCAGCAGCTTAGGTTCAGATCTGTTCTTCGTGCTTCCTCTTTAGCTCACGGCTACTGCTGCACGATGTTTTAAAATTTAGATTGCGGCACGCTATCATATCCGCCCTTGATCTGCTTTTACTCACGTACAAAATCCCCTTTCCGGTTACAGCTGACGAGGGGTGCTCTCTTGGGGTAGTCGCCGGAGAGGGCTTGACCACTTGATAAGTGATGGAGTCGTTGCAGCGACTGCACTGCATTTGACACATGCCAAACCAGGGAGTGGCCGAGGCGCCTGAAAGTGGATCCGAGCGCAGGGCTTGCAGAGACAGGGTGCCCCTGGCATTGCTCTGGCTCTGGCGGGCTCAAAACTCGCCAATTTTAATGTATGACCCTATGTAGCACAGCTTGGAAATGTAGTTGCGCTGGCAGTTACCAAAATTTTGGCAGGCTTGAGGTCCACGCGGAGCACGTTAAGCACACAGTAGCGCAGAGCAGCCACAATGTCCAACCGAATCACATACAGCACTCTGTGGATGAACGCCAACGCTAGCGTGTCCAGTATCCTACGGACACTCCATAACGATAATACTAAAGGATAATACTAGTGGACTCTGTTGTTATGATAATTATGTCCCTTGATAATCTTCAAGCGGAGTAATCTGTTCAAAGTTCAGAAGCGATCAATAAGATATATCCATTTTATTGGGTAAAAAATACCGCGATAAATTGACTTAAAAGCAGTACCATATGCACCGCGGCCGAGAATTTGACACCTGGTGCGGATGGGGGAACATCCTTAAGCAAGTGATTGCGCTTCGGCGTGGTAAGCACAAGCTCAATTTTTGGATTAGCTACTGAAAATTAACAGCATTTGACTCATAATGAGAGATTTTCGATTTATTTCATTATTTTCACATTGCCTACATTTGTACAGTATAACGGTGCTTTCGCTTCAGCAGCTGTGTATAGGCGCTGCCAGATTGTCAGAAAATGAATAGAACCCGAATGGCTCCACTGTTATCTACGTCCCAATTACATCTCAATAAAATAAAATATTTTATAACTTTTTTTCCATTTTAAACTATTTATTTAATACTGCACACTGTACAATGTATGCGTCAAAAGCGAATCGTAATCGATGGTGTTCGAGGCTTGGCTTCGTTTTGGGCTTGATACAAACCAATAAATAATATAAAATCTAAATGCCGCTGAATCTTCATTCCCAAAATCACTACTGACGTTCTCCGTGCAGTTGCCCAGTCTCCATCCGCAAGATATATGCCAAAATATGCATATGCTAATCAAATCACAATAATATAAAAACGATTTTAAGGTGATATATATATTGAAATTTGATTAACAATTGTCAACTAGTAAACTAGAGGAAATATACAACATTTTTTCTAGATTATTATTTAAGAGGCTCTGACGTTTTGAAATCTATTCCAAAACCACCAGTTATGTTATGAACAATATTTTCAGCTTCTTTAAATGAATCCATTGACTTTGCTAATGGTAGCACCTTCGCTTCTACCAGCTCTTTTGCCAGCTCAATAGATTCAGAATCTTCTGGGTTCAGCGTTTCAAGAACCTAAAATGTAAATATAGATTTTTTTTTTTAGTAAATCAAAATGTTTTTTTGTTGATAAACATTATATCTCTTACCTCTTTCATTTTCTCAATGTTATCTGCATAAAATTATGTTTATGATCGGTTATGATGGTAACTCCTTATTGAGTTGGTCGGTTGTAGCGTCGTACTCTAAGCGGACCTTTTATAATTTTATGAAAGTTTTGTTCACACAGGATATGAACCAGTTAGCGACATGAAATGTATCCTTACATTGTTAGCTGTTAAATTTAATGCGTCTTATATGCCGCGCTATTCGTTAAGAGCCATAATACTTTTAACTCATTCCCGTAAGGCAAACAAAAAAGTGGAGAAAACAGTACAGTACATCAAAAGTTCATCGGTGCACGGAACATGTATGTGTTAAAAGACGTTTCGTGACTTGATTGGGATTAACGCTGAGCAGTGTTGGGCCAGTGTGCTCAGTCCAAGCCAGAGTTGCATTTTTTGTGACAAGTAAAAAACCAATATTTCCACTCCACTTCATTGGTAAAAAAAAGGTTCAATTAAAAGGAGCCATCTGAACAATACAAACACCAGAGAATTAGGACAGAGCGAATATACAACAAACGGGGGGGAACGTTGTGAGTTGAGGCGGACGCAGCAACTTTACAGTTATACCCGATACTAAGTCAGTATGGCTCTCCTCCGCCAGACGCCACTAATAATGAACGACACGACAAACAATACGTGCGAGAGAGACAGAAAATCACTCTGAGCGTGACGTCGGGCGCTGCGTAGCCAGTGCAAATTGATTTGTTCCTTTTGGCTATAAAAATGATCTGATCTGATCCAGATGATCAGCGAAATTTTGACACAAAACGGTCAAGGTCCGATATCACAGGAGTGTGGATACCAAATTTGGTTGCTCTAGCTCTTATGGGTTCTGAGATCCTTGAACTCATATTTTGCAATTGGCAAAACCGACCATGAAACCTGTGTGTTAGAGTAAGACAGAGCGAGAAAGAGTGAAATTGTTTTCGTGATTCTGGCTATAATATTTATACGATCTGGTTCAGATTTTGCACTCTGGAAGATATAGTCATCTTCTACGATTCTGCGTTTTTAGTTTTCTCGTATCGTCGAAATTGTGGATGCCACAGATTTTCACCCTTTGTGGGGGCGGAAGTGGGCGGGGCAAAGTTTTGAAATATTTTTGGAGCAGTGACATATCACAGAAGTCTGGATCCAAAACATCGTTGTTCTAGCTCTTATAGTCTTTGAGCATTAGGCGCTGAAGGGGACGGACAGACGGACAGACGGACGGACGGACAGACAGACAGGGCTCAATCGACTCGGCTATTGATGCTGATCAAGAATATATATACTTTATGGAGTCGGAAACGATTCCTTCGGGACGTTACACACATCCACTTTTACCACAAATCTAATACACCCCAATACTCATTTTGAGTATCGGGTATAAAAATCGACGAGGAGCTCAGCAGGTCGATATTGCCAGAGCCATGGCCACCCATTGGGCAACCCAACGGACGCAAGTGCAAGCATCACATGGGCAATCCAAAAGAGCCTGCTATCGCTGTGGGGAATCTTCTTAGCTGGGAGGAAAAATGGGACCAGCAATACAATGCCACAAGTCGCAATTTGTGCAGAGACCAATGAGGTTGTATTGCTTGGCCTGGAGCTGCAATCCACCGAAGAAATAGGTAACTATAAGCTGTCCACGAACCGATTCGATTCGATTTGGCTGACTAACATTTGTGTGCGTGTGGTCTCTCCCTCCTCCTTTAGCCTCTTCTGTAAGGGTTTCGGAGATCCCCTGGACTAGTAGCAGGCACAGGCGCAGGAGATTTCCCCACAGGTCATCAGAAAGGAAGTCCCATGTACGAGAATCTTGACTTTGAATACGAGTACGAGTAGATATTATTTATAAACATTAGCAGATAGTCCGATATAAACAATTCTTTCATTTCGTTTTGTTAAATGCAAAAAAATTCCTCGGAGATATACTTAGTATATTATCCAATCCAATTGATATCTCTTCTTCACGGACCCTAAGCGGTCCCCTCGCGCAGTGACAGAATGTAGCAAGGTAATAATTAGTGAGGCATTCAACTAGTATTTAAAATAGCATACAGCGCGCATTGGTATTTACCGCACCATCGATACACTCGGCGGGAAATACCAATAGTGAGATAACGGATAAGAAACATCGATAAGAGAGTAAGTTCACTTTGTAAATGGCGATTGTGAGAGACGGACGCGCAGCTAATAAAAAAGAGTTATATCAAATCGCCGGGCTTGTGTTTTTATACCTAAACAGTTCACTCACGCACCGATATTGGTCACTACAATTCCCGGGTTAGACGGCCTACAATTTCAGAAGTGGGATACGATCAATCGCCGCCAGTGAAAAATAGCGAAAATTTTTCTTTTCTCGTCCGTCGAAGACGCCATCGCTGAAAAAAAAACATGTCGGACTTGGTCGGCACGGAGGAGTTCTCGGCCGCCCAGCTGCGCGAATGGCTGGAGTCCCTCAATCTACCAAAAGGTGGAAGCAAAGCTGCCATGGCAGCGAGACTTAACGAAATACCAGTAGAGCTGCGGGGCAGGGACCACCGGCAGCCGAAACATGCGAGAACGAGAGGGAAGATGAGGCAGCCGCAGATCAAGACTCGACGAAGAGCGAACGCAAAGAGAAGAACGAAAAAGCACCGCAAGCGCCTGGGCACAACAACAACCACGGCGAATATCGAGCAGAGGTTGAAATGTTAAAATTGCAAATCGAGCTGCTGAAGCTGCAGAGCAAGAGGGAGAAGGAAGGGAGAGGAGAGAACACAACACCAGCCGCCAACAATGACGCTGGCGTCATGTTGCTAAATGCCGCCAAAGACATGTTGCCAACATATCATGGCAACATTTCTGGAAACAACGATGACGTCACAACTTGGATCGCGCAGTTTAAGGCCGTCGCAAAAGTGAACAAACTGAAGGATGAGAAGCTACTAATGCTGCTAATGTCGAAGCTTAAGGACAAAGCATTGGTGTGGCTGCATTCGAGTCCGGAGCACATGTCGCTGCCAATCGATCAGTTGTTGAACGTCATGGAAGACACTTTCCATCCCAAGGAAAGCAAACTGTTGCTCCGTCGCAAGTTCGAGTC